GCCTAAATGTTTTCGCTTCAGTATAGTTAAGACCAACGTGTAAGCAGTCAAACACAGTTACAATTTCCTAAGCGTATCATGTTTGTCTGCGTTTTCAAAAGCACTGAGGAATCGAGACAAAGAAGTTGACGAGGAATTTAAGCAAAATTTTTAAATTTGGGGCTTGTTCGCAATTATTAGTCATAAGCAATACAAACTAATAGCAAAAGCGTGGTCAAAAAGAATCAGCCCTTTAGTTATAAAACTGCACCGCCGTAATATGAGACTTAACGCAATTGGCAAATAATTATTTAGTTTCTCACCGTTGAAAATTTAACATTCGATTACGCGTTTTTAGACATACTGAGAAACTGCATGAAGAGCAGATTAATTTGACACGTCGTAAAATACAAGTTCATCGCATATAAAACTATTACCCGTGGTTTAGTGCGGTGTCCCCTGAACCTACGTCAGCGTAATACAGTTGGTTGTTTTCGGCGCTTCCTGTTGTGAATGCCAGCTGTGACATTTTGAGCGTTTGTTTAACAACAGCCAGTTTGTAGCATACTCCAGCCATAATGCCTTAGATCTGCTTCTTGTCCTCCTTTCATCAGACTGTGTCCCTTGCGCATGTCTCTTTTAGCATTCTGATCGCGCTTATTGCATAATGATACCTCGATCTGAAAAGCGAATGACTCAGATGAAAATATCGCCAATTGTGTTCGTCTGAGGTTTTCTGGACCACGCTACATCAGTAATTCTTAGAAGGAATCCCACTTCTGCCACCTATAATCAACGACACGTTCAATCGTTGCATATTTATGATTTATGATCACTGGGCTAAGCGTATATGAGGGTCTGACGAAGGATGATTTCACCTAAGTGATCGGCCCTTCCTTAGTCATCACAAAATGGCCTAGCAGATTCATTCCAGTTATTTCTCTTTCAGCCAGCTTTATTTATGCGGCTTACTGCAGCTCTTATCACTGTGCTTCGGGCATTAACTTAGTTTAGCATTCTGTTGTGTGCTGTTTATCTTTTTTACATAATTTCAATTCGAAGCTATCATATCGATGAAACCTGCATGTATCGTTAAAGCACACTGAATAACGTGACATCGTGCAATGGCTGGATATTGTAATAGAAACATCAGCAATAAATGCGCAAAAGTAACCTGTCTTGAAACCTCGAAGAAACAGTTAACTACAATGCACCTAAATTTTTAACCAGCTATCTTATTCAAAAGTCGATTCATATTTTGTTCTATTTCTCGAATTTGAAGAACGGAAAGCAGCTTTCACAGAATAATTCCAACGTACGTTTCCTCCTGGGAAAAAGGCTGCTCTACATCGTTAACGTGACGTCAGACGACGAAGGCACATATAAATGTCTCGCTGAAAATTTGGCAGGTCGAGCAGAGAAGATGGTTCAGGTGGCGCTCCTTGGTGAGTCTGGACCAAACCGCTTGTCTAATTTGCAAGCAAGAACTTTTTACTTAGTACCGCCTCGGTTTCATGATATTCAAACGGATCCGAACATTGTTGTTTTGCAAAACGAGCTCGTTGCACTTTCGTGCAATGTTTCAGGCAGTCCTCGACCGAAGGTAATGAAATTTAACTCACTAGCGAAGCATGGAATGGCAGTTTTAGATCACGTGGTTCAAAAATGGACGTCTCTTATTCGAAAATGATTCAACAGACAATCGTTTTTACGCTGATCATCAAGTTCTGAAATTGAAGAACCTGACGTTTTCTGAGCCATCACACGTCGTGTGTATTGCGGCAAACGAAGCTGGTATTATCTCAAGGGACTTCATTGTTTCTGTAATAGGTAAGAAGCAACATCTATTATGCGCCGTAACTTAATCTTGATGGCAAATAATTTACGAAATCTCATGCCTCAAAAGTATGGGTTCATATTTTTAGACATATTAATAGGCAAATAACTCGCCGAGACAAAATTTTACGGCGTGCTGCATCGTCTATGTCGCAGAATTTAGTCTCTAGAGCAGCCACTTGCTCATCAACAATGCATCCTTGTTACTAGCGGTGAAATATGCCATGAAATATGATTTTGGATACAATATTCGTTAGTTAACTTTCATGCTTCACGGCTAACTTTAAGTAGCGACTTACGATGGGTTATTTCTGTTCTTACATCAAAGACGATGCCGGATGCCGTACAGGCATTCCATTAGATCAATTTTAATGGACACTCGTTTTTCTGTCTTTTCGATGCCGTGCCACTTCGTATAGAATCGTCCCATAACTACATTGCATTACCTCTACGTGAATGATTTTCCGGAACTCCACACAAACTGACATACAGAATCAACTGTTACGTGGCTTCGAGATTCAGAGATTTGCCATGTCGTTCCGGATTTAGTCCTTTTCAGGAGATGTACCACTTCTTAGCGATTCCGTGCTGTTATCTCCGTCATTGTGGGATTACTTTTTGTCTCAAAATGAAGTTTGAGACTATGGCCAGAGCTGAAAGATCAGATTTAAGATATCTTCATAGGTTTTCTGTTGTCTCTGGCGAATTTCTTTCTCCTGAGTTGGCAAGCTTCCATTCAAATTACTGAAAGATTGAGTGATGCTTGATTTTCACTCACTTGAAATGCTCATTCCGCTAAATGACCTTGTTTCATAATCGGTAGTCGGCGTTTAGGTTCACTCCGAGAGATTTCGATGTTCACCTGTTGCTGCCTTTGCTGCGATTTTCTGAGCTTCGTTGTACCGAATACTTAAACAATATGAAGCCATTTTAAAAGGTCAGACCAAATGAGTTTTCTCTCTGACGACATCTTGAATTTCCAATTTCTATCGAGGGATTTTGTTTTCCGCTAGTCGTGAAAGGGAGCCTTTTTAGATCGTAGAAAGATGAAACCGAAGTGATTTTGCTGACTGAAAAATTCTCATTTAGGCTTATTACTAGGCTTAACTTGCTGCCTGATTCGTCCTCCGTAAATCATTCCCTCTCACCATCATTTGCCAAAGCTTCTCACTTTATTCTGAAGGCAGATTTTGGTCCACCTGTCATGTCAGTCGCTCAGAATTGTGAAAGTCACCGTTTGCACACAGCCAGGTGATGATAGATCAACTGTTTATCCTCGAAATCACCCTAGCTCCATCAAAAATAGGTTCGGCGAAACCATAACAAAGTGTCTCATCTATCAACGCCTTAGAGTGTATCGATTCCAGGTTTACTATTGAACGACCCAATGCTGGAAGATGTTTATCGTGAGCGGGTCGTCCGTGCCGTAGAAGTCTAGTTATGTAACATTATTGAGGTTCATATGGGACGCCGCTGCTTATTTTATCTTTATTTGTCGGCTTTTGCCCTTGCATGCTCTGGCATCGTCAAATCAGCTCAAAACCAGAACGCTTCTGCTCATTTTTCATTTGAGGACTTTCAAACTGCGACACCGGGTATAAAACTCCTAAATATGCCCTGTTTGTGGTGCTCTGCTTCTTCATTCAACCATCGTCCGCTCCTAATCAGAGATAGGACATACCAGTTACCACTGTAATCCTCCATTACTAGTTCCATGTGGACCTCTTGAGTGTTTCTCGCGTTTGGCGTTATCCCCGATTATTGCCCTTAACAACTAAATGGATAGCGGATCTGATGGCAGAGTTGCACAGTCTGTATGGCTGTTCCACGAACACCAAAGGAGGGTGCTGAGGCAAATTATTTGAATGAACGTTTCTGAGTAAGATTCGAAAGCGTGAAGAACGACGCGGTGCGAAAATATAAACATGCAAAAATAATGTTATGCTGTCATTGCTATTGGGCTAGAATCTCAAGATCATAACATAGCGACGCATACTGACACGCTGCGCTATAAATGCTCAAGTATTCGCAAATTATGTAATGAAATAACCGGCACAAGTATCAGCACAAGGAAAATCACAATAAAAATAAGTGCTAGATGAGAAGCAAGAGAATCACATGACAAAAACCGATAGAATTGAACGTTCTAATCTGTAGGGAATACAAATGCTGAAAGACTAATTTTTCCTTTCTTATGTAATTATGCACTGTGCATGCGCAATTAAAGACATTTTCGATTAAATACCTGTTGCAAGTAATTTGATCCATTACGCCTAAATGCATTCAAGAGAGCTTGCTTGTCACTGCGAAAAACTTACGCCTGGATTATAATAGCTGCAATTGGGATGCTGAAAAGAAGCTTTGAAGCAGGCTTGCTTGTTCATTCAAGATGGCATTGCTTAAAGCAAGAGAATACTACTCTAACATCACATGTACTGAGAGGAACGACTGTTTCACCTTGAACCATTCGGCAATGTGCTAGTATATCAATGTTTTATTTCTATGTTCGTTAACCAACTTTCTAATCCCAATCAACGTTTCTTATGTTACACAATCGTGGAAGATGCTGGTATTTATAAACTTGTATCTACTGCTGGTATCTATAAACTTGTATCTACTCATGCCTTTCTAAGCATAGAGAATGACATGGAACCCTGGATGTTGCCCCGGTCGTTGTCTCCCTGATCTACATGTGTGCATGTATGGGCCCTTCCCACATCTCTAGCTCCTGGCCTCACAATATTCAGGCATTTTCGATTTGCTAATGATTCGCCACATAGTTTTTTCATTTTGTTATCTGATCTGCTTTAGCTCTATAAAGGCTAATCGAGATCCTGTTGCCATTCTCTCTATTTCTTCGAAAGAGACTATGGTAAGGTTGAACTACCAACTACACTAATACTTCCTTTGTGAAACGAAACTGATCGGTTGTTCCGTATGCGGTTTCCTTAACTTTTCGCTGGTACACGTACAGATGATCTTGCAACTAGCTCATTAGTAAAAATCGAACTCCGTTATGAATGTTTCATAGACGTTTACAATTATACACTCGTTCTGTTCCTCACTTCATTAGGTTAAGCATGACGGCAAAATCAGTCCAAGCAGTGTTAATTCCCTTTTTCTCTTTTGCTGCCTAGCGTTTTCATTGGTTCCAAAGAATCGACAAAAATGAAACATCCAGGTAATGTATACTCCTTAGCGAGCTCAGGTCTTCTTTATTGCTCTTTGCACAGAACAGAACGGTCCTCGATTCTTTACAGCTGCTAGGGATGGTCTTCTCAGTCAAGTAGCTACATAATCTAGCGGCGAGTGCCTTCCGAAGTGCGTGCCCACCGCCTTTCATCAGCTCAATGCTAATGCCGTCGTTACTGAGAGCTTTTCAACTTTACATCTTGTAGACTGCCTTTTCTACTTCACTGATCAGCACCGGGAGTATTTGTTTCTTGGCGGTTCGAATTTCAGGTGTTCGAATGTCTGCACATGAAGCAAACAGTTTCCTGTAGAATTTTCTACATAGTTCTTCCATAACTGTTCGGTCCGTGATTCGACGTCCATCCTCATCCTTCAG